TCAGCCATTCCTTTCTCCCCTTCCCACCATCTCACCCTCCTTACATTCCCTTCTCACTCAGTATGTTTCTTAAGAACTGCAGTCATTCGCTTAACAGCTGTGGCAAGACAGGTCGTAAAATGGGGCAAAACTCACTTAACAAATGTCTCACTTAGCAACAGAAATTTGAGGCTCAATCATGGTCATAAGTCAAGGACTCTCTGTATGATGGAATGGGGATGTGACAGCATCCGTGCGAATTGCATTCACATAGCAAACATCACCATATTATATAAATTTCGTGACTTCATTCATCTAACGTTACTGAAGCTGATTAGATTTAATTTTGGGGTGGTTCATCCTGTTTTGTATATGTAGCCTGATTAGTTTATGAGTCAGAGTATTGTAGAAAACTTGTTAATTCCATAAGCAAGTCATGCACGACCAGGGAATAATCATATTAAGGGTATTTTAGCAATCAAATGCAATTCTAATTAAAGCTAATGAATTGAATGGAAATCTCACTCTGCTTCTTCTTCGTTGAGGTCCGAAATCAGTTGGGCATCTTTTTCTCAAGACAATAAAACTCCAGAAATGGAGTTGTTCTTTCCTACCAGGAAATCTTGGCGACTGCCATTTGACAAGAATGTGATGTAGGGGTCAGCTCAAGAGCGACTCCCTTATTATTATTATACTTCTCACAATTCTTTAGGGAGATGAGAATAATCCAAAGCTATCAGAAACACAGCCCAGTGGCACTCGCTGAGTATTATATGGACTCAAAAACATGGCCTGTGTCTGCAAAAGGAACGTTGCCTATTTTTTTTTCTCTCTCTACTGTGATCCGAAGCAAAGCAGTCATCTCATCTCTCCCAGCCACCTGACTCCCCTAATCCTCTAACTGCATAAAAATCTACCCGTCTACTGCAAGAGGAAACCAACAATTTGCAAACCAGCTGCCTGGGGAACTGAAAGAATGAAAAATAAAGAAGGCTGGGGAAACAGGTGTGAGTGGAGAGCTTGTCTGCTGGCGTTGATATCCACCTGATATGGATTGGAAAAAGAGAATTGATTTTAATTTGATTTTGATTTTATTATATTTATATGCTGCCCTTTTCCCCCGAAGGGGACTCAATGAGAATGTGCTNCCAGCATTCGCTGGCTGGGGAATTCTGGGACTTGAAGTCCAGACATCTTCAAGTTGCCAAGGTTGAGAAACACTGGTATAAGGGATCAATTTAGAGAATAGGAATAGGAAAACAGAATAGAAAGAATAGGATGGGATGGGATGGTATAGGATAGCATACGATAGGATAGAATTGGAAGGGACCTTGGAGGTCTTCTAGTCCAGCCCTCTGCTCAAGTTGGAGATCTTATACCATTTCAGACAAGTAACTGCCTAGTCTCCTCTTAAAAACCTCCAGTGATGGAACACCTACAACTTCCGAAGGCAACTTCTGTTCCACTAGTTAATTGTCCTCACTGTTAGAAAGTTTCTCCTTAATTCTGGGTTGCTTGTCTCCTTGATTAGTATCCATCCATCACTTTTTGTCCTGCCCTCTGGTGCTTTGGAGGATAGCTTGACTCCCTCTTCTTTGTGGCAGCCCCTTAAATGCTGGAAGACTGCTATCATGTCACCCCCTAGTCTTTCTTTTCTTCAGACTAGCCAAACCTAAATCCTGCATCCATTCTTCATAAGATGTGAGCTAACTTGCCGATCGCATTTTTCCTTTGCCTAAAAGGTGGAGGTGCTTGATTTGAGAAGATCAATGGATGAATAACTAGCCATTGCTGACTGCCATGGCCACTAAGATCGGAGCAGTAATTGGCCTTCATATCTACTGGACGTCATTTTCCAACATCCCAAAACACAATTTAACAAGGCACAACGGTATGGCTTGTGAAATAAGGCAACTTCTGCCGATCTCATCTCTTCCATCTTTCTTACATCCTCCCCTCTTTGGTAAACAATAATTGTCTCATGGGGAGGGGTCAAAAAGAGAGCAAAACTATCCTTGTCTCAATCCATCTGCAAGGTCTTTAGTGCATCTGGCTATGGTGAGAAACTGGGTTAAAGGACCACTGTCTCACCCACCATAAATGGCCTTGAAGAACCTCAGAATTTCAGAAGGGAATAGAAGACGAGGTGATTTCTGTAGATTCATAGCAATAGCAATAGCACGGGCTTATATGCTGTTTCACAGTGCTTTACAGCCCTCTCTAAGCGGTTTACAGTCAGCCTACTGCCCCCAACAATCTGGGTCCCCATTTTACACACCTCAGAAGGATGGAAGGATGAGTCAACCTGGAACAGTCAGGATCGAACTGCTGGCAGTCAGCAGAATTAGCATGCAATACTGCATTCTAACTCTGCACCAATGTTGCCCNTGGCCACACCCACCCAGTCACATGACCACCGAGCCCCGCCTACCCAGATGGTCATTAGGGCAGAGAACCGGTTGTTAAATTATTTGAATCCCACCCCTGGGAACCAGTCTGCGGTATGCCAGAAACCATGTCGTGAAAGCAAGCGAAACC